GGCCTTTAGGATACATTTACACGACAACAATGTGCTTAAAACGGAGAAGTGTTTCCTTTGAGTTTTCCGCGACACCATCGACACCATCGTCAAAACGATCCCGATTCACACGGATCCGCGAAAAGGCTAAAAGCGCTGTATTCTGCTCCAGGCCAGTAGATGATGATGAAACACTACAGTTAAACACGTAATACGCATGATGTCATCGTCTTCAGAGATTCGCGTTTTTTTTGTTTACACAGAGACCGTTGTCAAAACTTTGCATTTTCAGGCGCCCAAAATGCCGTTGTCGTGTAAACGAATGGCCAAAACGCATACAATTTTTCACGTTTTTATGTGGAAACGGTGTGGCGTGACAGGCCCTTGGGGAGCAGTATTAGGTTTCGGCAGATGCCCTGGTGGTCTGAGACTCTCAGAGGTGCGACTGTTCCCTGCTGGACTCTGAACTACTTCTCATCCTATGGTTTCTGTTTGCACTTCCTCCAGCATGCTTCTCTTCTCAGCCAGTGAGAGTTAACAGTACTACAGTGTTCAACAAGAAGGAATCTGATTGTTACCCCGCTCACTCTTACTGCCCTGCCTGGCCCTTTTATTTTCTGAAGATATTTTTAGCCCAAATACCAGAGAACTGAAGCAGGCTGAGGCCTGCTATCTCGGGACACTTCCCTGTTCCCTTCACATGAAAGAGTTTTCCGGCTGGAAACACGCCAAGTCTCTCAGTTGTGAAAAACAGAACAATCTGTTCCAGCGATACCAGCTCTGCTTGGCCTTTTCTCTTGGTCACCTTTGTTGGAGTTGAGAGAAAGTATTTACTTTTACAGTCCTAAAAGAAGCATTCAATTCTCATTTTGCCACTTTTTTTTTTGCTAAATAAAGGGGACTTGACTTAAAGGTAAACACCATTTAATCAGTTTTTATTTTATTTTTTATTTTACAATATTAACAAAAACTCATACCTTTATTCAGAGACAGAAGTAAGTATAGGTAGGTTAATTGTCCCTCAATATAATAGAGGAATTTCACTTGTGTTTCAGGCCTTACAGGTGTGCACTCTAAAAAATGCTGGGTTGTTTTAACCCAATTTTGGGTAAAAAATGGACAAAACCAAACTTTGGGTTAAAAATGTCATTTAAAATGTTAACTCAATTACTGGGTTTGTCAAAAATTGATCCAAATTTCGGTTGAATTTCGACTTCAGACCTTTTTCCGTGCGTGACGTCTGAGGCTGAGACTAGAGTGATAACTGCAAAGATATCTCCATAAAACATTTGTTTACATATTTTTACCATGTTTACAGGATTTAAAGTTTGATCACAGAATGAGGATTTGAGATATATCAATATCAAATAGCTCTCAGTAAACCTGGTTGTGCATAATGCAACTACTGTAAAACAATTGCAACTGCTTAAACAAAATGCAACAACAACAACAACAACAAAACATCTTTCTGGACCATTAGCCTACTATTGTATTTAATCCACAAAATATCCACACGTGTTTCTTGACATATTTTTACTGTTGAATGATCTCAACTGTTTTAACTGTTTTTATTGGTTTTATAAAGTCGTTAGATTTTCAAAGTCACATAGGCTACACTATATTTTGGATTCATTGGGTTTTAATGGCCACGCTAACTTCCGATCATAGGCTATGTTGCTCAAAACAGAGCAATAATTATTGCCATGAAGTCATTTCTCATTATAAACATGAAGCAGCTGCAGGTGCATTAAGGCTGATCAACTTTTAAGATGTCAACTTTTTTTAAGATGTCAACTTTTACAAGAACTTTAACATTTAACTCCAAAAAGTATTATTTTTGCTGATACCATTAAAAAGAAATATGCAGTGCACACACAAATAACATATACATATCAAATACTTTATTACATTGTATTATATGTTTTTCAAGTTATGTGAGTTCCTGCCATGTATCCAGTGGTGAGTTAGCATGAGCAGCATTGAGATGAATGTTAATGCTAACGGCTAACGGCTAGCTCTCGCCAGGTATCGTAAACCTCGCTCCTCACAGTGAACTTTTATGTCCTGGGTTTCCAAGAAACTCTGGCTGTGGCTGCCTGCATCTTTATTGTTATTCGGACAATGCATCCAGTGTATAATGATACACGATCTTTCTTGTGAGTTCACAAGAGTTCACTGGTATGATCGGCTGTTCCTGAATCAGGCAGGAGTGTGTGTGTGTGAGAGTGTGTGAGAGCGCGAGGCAGGGAGGAGCTGTCTATTCTGGGAAACGGGCTGTTTAACTGGCAGTCTGTGAGTTTACACATGGATCTGTTTAGGACAGGGGACGAGGAATCCCGCAAGCTCACAGATATCTGTCTTCACTCTAAACTCACGCTAGTGTAAGTGACTGCCCGGTGTTTCCAGTATGCTGGCACACGTGTAATAATGTGTGCTGGATGCAGCCCAGTTTCCCATCCAGGACAAGGAAACCCTCACACTGAGTTCGGGCACTGATATTTAAGTGAGCTGGATATACCGCATGTACTTGTTTTACACCACCCTCCATTAGTGCTGCTTGTTCAATATGCTAACTTTACTGTAAAGTCTCATTTATTAATTAACGCAGGCTATATAAATATTAGCCTATACAATGTGTGTGTGTGTGTGTGTGTGTGTGTGTGTGTGTGTGTGTGTGTGTGTGTGTGTGTGTGTGTGTGTGTGTGTGTATTTATCCATTGTAAAACTTTTTGTTGATAATATAGACATAAAAATTGCACGTATGTTAAAAATAATGATATGCAATAATTATGCATACAGTTTTTTTCTTTTTCTGTGTTGTTTTCGTTAACATGCATGGTCGGTAGGCTACATATATTTAAAAAAAAAATCATATTAACTTGGTTTAGTATACAAATATTAAGTACTGTTCCCGAAGGTACAATGAACTCACCGATGAACTCAAGATCATTACACTGGATGCATTGTGGGAACAGTCCTGTTCCCGATACGGTTCGATGTACTTTACAGTAATTACACTAATAAGGTAATAACCTTACTGAACCTATTTACCCATTTAGTTACCTTATGTTACCCTGCACTTTCTAAGGTAGACTGTAAGTGCACACTATAGTGCAACCCGTGTGCATTTTAATTGTTATATGAACATATCACAATATTACCAGAGAATAGGTAAGACATACAGCAGTCACTATGGAATATGTTTCTGAATGGGATTAGTCATTAAATCCTCAGTAAACACTGATGATGACAGCTTGAATTTATTTCTTGAGTTTTTAATCCATGAAATTCAAGTCATTTCTATTTGGAAGTGACCATAAGTGATTGTCAGAGGGTCAGATGTTTGTTTATGCTAGTCTGACCTGTCAGGATGTTGCAAACCTGATCATAGACAGCGATTACATATAGTAAGCTACCACTGACAGAGTGATCATCCAATCACAGCCCAGTGAAGGCCCTGTAACCTATCATGTGACTCTTTACCTGAGGCTCAGGTTCAGCTCAGTGAGAACACAATGTTCTGAAGGGAAGCAAGAGCTGAATTAAGAAACACATACTGCTCATACTCCATGATTTGTTTTCCCTCAGAGTTTAGTAGTATGTGGTTTCAAATTCAGCAAATGATCTCATGGGAAGCAAAAGAAAAGTATTAGCCTACTGTTAACTATTTCTGCCATAGAAAATATGGCATAAGAATAGTAAGTTTATGAATTCAGCAACTGCCTTCCTTTGAAGCTTAAAAAAGTCATTATTGTGTACATTAATAGAACTCCCCTTTCATACGACTAGTGTTTTTTTTTTAAGAATGAACTTTTGCCTTAACATAATATGAGATAATGTCCAATGATCCAGTTTCACAACAGAAAAACGAGCCAGTGTCCCAGCACATCTATTGTTCACTTGTCCGGTTTGATAAAAGGCCCTTGGCTGAAGACACAGTGTTCTCATGTGTTCACGCTTCCCAAAACTAGGCGTAAAATTACCAAAACAAATAGCATTCCTTCTGGTTTCATTGCATTGCCATGTTGTGCTCTCTCGTTTCTGGAAAATGTCAGATTTCAACAAAGCACATCAAACACCCCACTGTTCCTCGAGTGTGTTATCAGGAAAGCTGACAGAGAGTGTGTCTGTGTGTGTTTACAATAAGTGTGTCATGAGGAAATATCTCAGTTGGCTGACTGACCGTTGAGAGTATTGATAAGAAGAAGTCCATAAAAGTCTTTAAATATATATGACAGTTTTCTGTAAACTGAGTCACAACTGCTTTGAGCCCAGGAAGTAAGAGAAGACAAGGAAATATATAGCTCTTCCCAAACAACATTTCCCCACATAACAGTAAATCGTTCATAATGTTATGCAACTAACAACATGTCCTAACAATAAGGTTAGGAAAAGGGTTTGGTTAATGGTTAATCAACATTACTCAGTACTTACCCAGATAGCAAACTGACATTGAATCAACGTGGAAATATGACATCGAAACAACGTTGATCTGACATGTTTTTGCTCATCGAATTAACGTTGAACCAACGTCAGACGCATCATTCTTTCAAAACTAACGGAAAATCAACTTGAAATCAACGCGTTGTTTCAACGTTATGAAAGCAAACCAATTTTCGATTTTCATTTAGCTTTGAAGAATGCCGCGTCTGACGTTGGTTCAACGTTAATTCGATGAGCAAAATCAACGTTGTTTCAATGTCATGAGAGACGTCGTTTCCACGTTGATTCAATAATACATGTAAAATAACACTGTAACAATTAAATCTTAAAATAGTGTAACCCTTCATCGTTGATGCAGTGTGTAACAAGGACACTTTGTTACCAAATAAAGTGTAACAGAAACTCGCTGAATCCCCTAATCTCTCCTTCTGAGCAGGAACAGTAGCACAGATGTGTCATAATGCCGCCCCCTGCTGGTATTCATCATCCACTGCGTATGAATTGCGTTCATGTTTTCATTAAAGCACCAGCGTGTGTGACTGAATCAGATGAAGACAAAAAAGGAAAACACAACCACATCTGCTATAACATCTTTATTTCAGCATGATCTGGCTACCACTACAATGGTATCGACCTCCAGAAAATCAAAAAAGAAAGAAAATGGCACTCGACTAGTACAATACTGCTACACACAGTACACATTTATAAAATGGAAACCAATATTCTCTATACACTAAAGTATGTACATCTTTGATAAATTAAACCAATACTGCTTAGATTTAATATTTAGCGTGTAGAATAACTGCTAGACTGATAAACAAGGGGTGACTGGAGAAACGCGAGCAGGCACTGGAGCATCCCGAGGACTTTCAGCTGTTGTTAGGCACAGAAGCGTTTTATTGGAGACCTCATGGAAAATACAAACATTCCCATCTGTTGATTACCGTCCCGTCTGTCTGAGAGGTAGTACCATTGCGTGACATCCTTGTAATGACGATATCCCAGAATCCTTAGCTGGCCACCATTCATCCGTTCTGCTTATGTCTGTGAACGCTGCCAATATACAAGTCAGCTTCACACAACACGCACACTATACGCTGGCGTCTGCCAAAAAAAACCGAGCAAACGCCCGTGGAGCCGTTTTCTGTTGCAAATAATAGACGTGTCTTTTTTTGTACAATTAAATACACAAATAAACCTCTGAGGACTAAGCCGCTTTTGTGCACGATACAAAATGTAAAAATACACTTATTGCCTGTACATTTCATAGCACAAAGGAAATCTTCCTTTTCTGGCGCACGAAGCAACTTTCGTTTGGTTTTCCACATTCTGTCAGACCTGCTGATTTCAGATAATGCAAGTGCGCGCCTGTGCAAAGAGACGAGAGGGATAGAGAGAGAGAGAGAGAGAGAGAAACAGAAAGAGCGTATTTTGGTTAAGCATGAGGAAAAATGTTCTCTTTGGGGGTTTCAAGGAAGCATTAGAGTTAAAAATCCCATTGACTTCCTTCTAACACACATGCACACACTCACACACACACACACACACACACACACACACACACACACACACACACACGCTTGAGCTGAGCAAGAAGACGTTTAAAAAGAGTGGCGCAGGTCTTGGTGAAGTTGGGGTTGTGTTCGACTCTTCACAGCTCAACTGTCTCCAGTAGTCCTGAAAGTGTAACACCTGAGCGTCTCTAGTGTCTCTTCACAGAGGACACCTTCTTCTTCCTCGCTGCCAGCATCTCGTAGAAAGGGTCTCTGCTGATGGCCGCTCTGGAGAGGAAGAAGAATATTATAATGAAAATGCAGTGTGTAATACAGCTGTTTGTGCAAGGTTTTAAAGTTCAAATTGTACGGCAAATAAAAATTGCGTCCTAAAAGAAAGAATCTATTCTGAACTGCTGAAAAGAGTCATCAGTAACTCCAGTCTTACTTACTGCATTGGCTTATGAGAAATTAGCATAAAGACAGTCTACGTTCTTCGTTGGATGCTGGTGAACAACATCTGCTTTAACTGTCAAAGACTGCATTTGTAGCTGAAGGAGGCCTGAAGGACTTTGGTTCATGCCAGGCCAATCACAACAGACTGAGCCATCTGACCAATCAGAGCAGAGCAGACCAATCCCAACAGACTGGGTCATCTGACCAATCAGAGCAGAGCAGAGTAGACCAATCCCAACAGACTGGGCCATCTGACCAATCAGAGCAGACCAATCCAACAGACTGGGCCATCTGACCAATCAGAGCAGAGTAGACCAATCCCAACAGACTGGGCCATCTGACCAATCAGAGCAGAGCAGAGTAGACCAATCCCAACAGACTGGGCCATCTGACCAATCAGAGCAGAGTTGACCAATCACAACAGACTGGGTCATCTGACCAATCAGAGCAGAGCAGAGTAGACCAATCCCAACAGACTGGGCCATCTGACCAATCAGAGCAGAGTTGACCAATCACAACAGACTGGGTCATCTGACCAATCAGAGCAGAGTAGACCGATCACAACAGACTGAGCCATCTGACCAATCAGAGCAGACCAATCCCAACAGACTGGTCATCTGACCAATCAGAGCAGAGCAGAGTAGACCAATCCCAACAGACTGGGCCATCTGACCAATCAGAGCAGAGTAGACCGATCACAACAGACTGAGCCATCTGACCAATCAGAGCAGACCAATCCCAACAGACTGGTCATCTGACCAATCAGAGCAGAGCAGAGTAGACCAATCCCAACAGACTGGGCCATCTGACCAATCAGAGCAGAGTTGACCAATCACAACAGACTGGGTCATCTGACCAATCAGAGCAGAGTAGACCAATCCCAACAGACTGGGCCATCTGACCAATCAGAGCAGACCAATCCCAACAGACTGGGCCATCTGACCAATCAGAGCAGAGTAGACCAATCACAACAGACTGGGCCATCTGACCAATCAGAGCAGAGCAGAGTAGACCAATCACAACAGACTGGGCCATCTGACCAATCAGAGCAGAGCAGAGTAGACCAATCCCAACAGACTGGGCCATCTGACCAATCAGAGCAGACCAATCCCAACAGACTGGGCCATCTGACCAATCAGAGCAGAGTAGACCAATCCCAACAGACTGGGCCATCTGACCAATCAGAGCAGAGCAGAGTAGACCAATCCCAACAGACTGGGCCATCTGACCAATCAGAGCAGACCAATCCCAACAGACTGGGTCATCTGACCAATCAGAGCAGAGCAGAGTAGACCAATCCCAACAGACTGGGCCATCTGACCAATCAGAGCAGAGTTGACCAATCACAACAGACTGGGTCATCTGACCAATCAGAGCAGAGTAGACCAATCACAACAGACTGGGCCATCTGACCAATCAGAGCAGACCAATCCCAACAGACTGGGTCATCTGACAAATCAGAGCAGAGTAGACCAATCACAACAGACTGGGCCATTTGACCAATTAGAGCAGAGTAGACCAATCACAACAGACTGGGTCATCTGACCAATCAGAGCAGACCAATCCCAACAGACTGGGTCATCTGACCAATCAGAGCAGAGCAGAGTAGACCAATCCCAACAAACTGGGCCATCTGACCAATCAGAGTAGACCAATCACAACAGACTGGGTCATCTGACCAATCAGAGCAGAGTAGACCAATCACAACAGACTGGGCCATCTGACCAATCAGAGCAGACCAATCCCAACAGACTGGGTCATCTGACAAATCAGAGCAGAGTAGACCAATCACAACAGACTGGGCCATTTGACCAATCAGAGCAGAGTAGACCAATCACAACAGACTGGGTCATCTGACCAATCAGAGCAGACCAATCCCAACAGACTGGGTCATCTGACCAATCAGAGCAGAGCAGAGTAGACCAATCCCAACAGACTGGGCCATCTGACCAATCAGAGCAGAGTTGACCAATCACAACAGACTGGGTCATCTGACCAATCAGAGCAGAGTAGACCAATCACAACAGACTGGGCCATCTGACCAATCAGAGCAGAGTTGACCAATCACAACAGACTGGGTCATCTGACCAATCAGAGCAGAGTAGACCAATCACAACAGACTGGGCCATCTGACCAATCAGAACAGAGTAGACCAATCACAACAGACTGGGTCATCTGACCAATCAGAGCAGAGTAGACCAATCCCAACAGACTGGGCCATCTGACCAATCAGAGCAGAGTTGACCAATCACAACAGACTGGGTCATCTGACCAATCAGAGCAGAGTAGACCAATCACAACAGACTGGGCCATCTGACCAATCAGAGCAGACCAATCCCAACAGACTGGGTCATCTGACAAATCAGAGCAGAGTAGACCAATCACAACAGACTGGGCCATTTGACCAATCAGAGCAGAGTAGACCAATCACAACAGACTGGGTCATCTGACCAATCAGAGCAGACCAATCCCAACAGACTGGGTCATCTGACCAATCAGAGCAGAGCAGAGTAGACCAATCCCAACAGACTGAGGCATCTGACCAATCAGAGCAGAGTAGACCAATCACAACAGACTGGGTCATCTGACCAATCAGAGCAGACCAATCCCAACAGACTGGGTCATCTGACCAATCAGAGCAGAGCAGAGTAGACCAATCCCAACAGACTGGGTCATCTGACCAATCAGAGCAGAGCAGAGTAGACCAATCCCAACAGACTGGGCATCTGACCAATCAGAGGAGAGTACTATCAATCATTACAAGTAAACCTCTTGTAGGAGACCTCCAAAACAAAATTAGGAACCTTGAAAATACATAATAAAAGGTTGGAGTTTAAAAGACACTTACTGTAAAATCCAATATTGTTATTGATTTAACTTCACTAACAGATTCAAACTAAACTGCTCTGTATTGTATGAAGCGCTATAGAAATAAATACGTCTTGAAATAAGGCATAATGTACAGTTCAACTCAGGAATAACGTACCGTCAGATGGTCATAGTTACAAAATAAACGTACTAGCACAGCCATGTAGGAAATCACTTGAATGGTACACTGCTCAAATTATACAGTTCTGTGTCAATATGTGCCTCCACAATGTTGCAACTGACCAATCAGAAACAAGAGAGAGACTCCAGTGGAAACAGGGATATTTAACCATTATACGGACCCGACCCAAAATAACTGTCTGCATGTAGAGCTCACTATCACTGTTCAGACGAGCGACACTCACTTGATGCTGTTCATCCACTCGTCCTTCTCCTCGGTGGTGGGAGCAGAGATGCGGTAGAACGTGTGATTGCCCTCCACCACGCGTCCGTCCGCCTCCGTCTTGCACGCCTTGATCACCTGGTCCTTATTATCCGGGATGAAGAGCTCAAAGCAGTTCTGAGAAGCAAACACAAGCGGGCCGTCACATATCTGACCACAAGGAGGAGACACTAGCTGAAGTGTAGAAGAGTGAGTAACACTTTACTTGAAGGGGTGTGCATAAGACAGGACACATTTTTCATGAGGGGTTATGAGAACTGTCATTTAAGGAGTAGTTCACTTTTAGAAAAACTTTTGATTAGAATTTACTCACCCCCATGTCATCCAAGATGTCCATGTCATTAAAAGAAATTAAGGTTCCTGATGAAAACATTCCAGGATTTTTCTCCATATAATGGACTTCAATGGGAACCAAACGGTTCAAGGTCCAAAAGACAGTTTCAGTGCAAACTACAAACTGTTCAAAGGGCTTTAAACGATTCCAGACGATGAATAAGGGTCTTATCAAGCGAAACGATCGCTTATTTAATAAATAAATTACAAAGTTTAAGTTTTATAAGCTCAAATGCTCGCCTTGCCCTGTTATGTGATTCGCGTTCGTGACTCTCCTGTTCGAACTCGTTTATCAAAATGAACAAATCTTTTTCTGAGTCAATTCGTTCATTTTGTTTGTTGAATGAACCAAACGACTCGGATAAAGATTCGTTCATTTTGATGAACGAGTTCGAACAGTAGAGTAACGAACGTGCATCACAGAACAGAGCAAGGCGAGCATTTGAGCATATAAAACTTTTTATTTTTTAAATGAGCGATCGTGTCGCTTGATAAGACCCTTATTTATCATCTGGAATCGTTTAAATCCCTTTGAACAGTTTGTAGTTTGCACTGAAACTGTCTTTTGGACCTTGAACCGTTTGGTTCCCATTGAAGTCCATTATATGGAGAAAATCCTGGAATGTTTTCATTAAAAACCTTAATTTCTTTTCGACTGAAGAAAGAAAGACATGGACATCTTGGATGACATGGGGGTGAGGAAATTATCAGCAAAAGTTTTTCTAAAAGTGAACTACTCCTTTAAGTGTCATTTGCTCAATTATGACATTTCTAATGCAAATATAGATATGTAGATATGAATAGATGTGTTTGTTATGACACCTTGACAAACCAATACATCATAACCTGTCAGTGTCTTTGTCATGATAACTTGACAACACAACCTGCCATAAACATGACATAGCAGATTAATTATCAAACTTAAGAAAGCACCTTTATTGGTTAACATTACATTAAACTGTCATGTGGTTGGTTTTGACATTGGCTGTCATTGCCTCATGACAGCCAATATCAAAAACAACCACCTGTGTTAAAATCCAGCAAAATCCATTACTTTTTACAATGTCTGGACACCTTTGTGACCCTATTCCCAATATTATATGATTTGGGACGCACTATAGTATTGGGATGCAGCCAAAGTGCTGAATTCTCTCAAGGTAATGGTAATGTAATGTAAACATAGGGAGCGCTTCTGCATGTTTCCTCCACACACCGGATCAGAGGAAACATGAACTGTCTCCAGATAATCAGGAAAAGAGTCGGAGTTTACCGGTTTCTTGTCCTCCACTTCACGGATGCTGAGGTTTTCCAGAGGGATGATGCCTCTTGGTTCCTTATCCTACATGAAGAGAGACACTCTAGTTTATGTTTAGCATAATATATTAGACCAGCATGTTTCTGGATACATTAAGAAGTATGATCATTTCTGTTTTAAACACAGATCACAATTCTGAATAGACAACTGAACAAAATGACACGTCATTTTCTAGAGGTTCTGATAAAATGTTAATCGCTGCAATCAATTTCAAAACGATTAATTGGTTTGATTAAAAGATTATTCAATGTCTTATAAAAACGTGACTGGATGAACTGTAGTTTTAAAACAAATCTTTTGAATGAATGATTCAATGGTGAACACATTGTTTCAACGATCACTCGTCGCCACCAACTTGTGTAAAATTATAATCGATATAATCTTATTTTAATGCGTTATGTTACTTTCAAAAGGCGATTTGATCTATTTTGATCACTACTGTAGACATCAGCGTTTATAACCGAACTATAACTTTTACCCCAGTACTACTGTGATAATATTAATATTTGTAGAACAGAAATACTGATACTATGTGTTATTAAAGAGTGTTTATTAAGCGGTGTCATATCTATACAGGTTAGACAGGAGCATCACTGTCATTTAGGACTAAGATCACGTGGGTGTTAGAATTTGAATCGAGATCGTGATCTTTTAACAATTAATCATGCAGCTCTAATATGTCTAATATATATGTGTATGTATATATATAAATATATATATATATATATATATATATATATATATATATATATATATATATATTTATATATATATATATATACTAATGTACACGCACTGCCATTGAAAAGTTTTGGGATCATTACAATTGTTAATGTTTTTTTAAAAAAAATCTCTTCTGCCATCCAAGGCTACATTTATTTGATAAAAAATAAATAAATAAATAATAATAATAATAATAATGCTGAAAATTCAGCTTTGATTACAGGAAATTACACTTCACTATATATTCACATAGAAAACCGCTGTTTTAAATTGTAATAATATTTAACAATATTACTGTTTTTACTGTATTTTTAATCAAATAAATACAGCCTTGGTCAGCAGAAGAGACTAAATAAATATAATTTATATATACAAATATATAATAATATTATTATTATAAAAAAATCATTATATATATATATATATATATAATAATTTTTTTTTTCTGAAGACTATATACATATATATATATATATATATATATATATATATATATATATATATACACACACACACACACACGCATATATATATATATATATATACATTCATATATATATATATACACACACACACACGCACAAAATCTTCTTTATATATATATATTTATATTTATATTTATATATATATATATATATATATTTGGGCTGTCAGTTAAGCGTGTTATTACCGGCGTTAACGCAAAACCCATTTTAACGTGATTAATTTTTTTATTGCGAGATTAAGGGTCTTTTTGGCCTAGCAAACTTTGTCGTTTTTTTGTGATTGGTCGTTTTTTTCCACTTTTGCAACAGGATGCGGGCGCGGCGTTGCGTTATGAAACCCATTAATTTCAATAGCTAAACCGTACACCGCGGTCTAAATTCGAAATAGTTCAAATTTTGCCGCTGTGACGATTACCAGCGTGGCCTATAGAAACTTTTTGGCATCCGAAAACTGGCGTAGCGCCGCGCATTCCGCGTCCTGTCTGAAAGCACCGAAACTAGCTAAACCGCAAACACACTTGTTGTGAGCCGCCAAATAGTAGATTAACGTTACATTTTGAATGGATGGCGAGCGCGAGACGCCGAAATCGATGTCAATAAGATTCTGAATTGAAAGTTAATCTTTTTAAAAAGTTGCCAAATTATTTTTTTCTTTGTCATTGTGAACTGAGCTATCATTGATGGCCAAGCACACACACAGCTGATGCGAAGTTGTCAATGTTGTTTTCAATAAAAAAAAAAAAAACATTTGCACAAAGCAAGCCGATCCACTTTTTCATGTTGATAAGAGCATTAAAATTAGAAAAAAATAACGGGACAAAAAGAAATCAAGAGACATTTAGAATAGATAAAAATGTGCATTTAATTGCGATTAATCACAAGTTAACTATGTCATCAATGCGATTAATCGCGATTAAATATTGTAATCGTTTGACAGCACTAATATATATTAGGGCTGTTGGAACGAATTCCGAAATTCGAATATAATTCGAATATTAAAAAAAAATCAATACTATTCGAATGCTTAAGTTACTATTCGAATGTTGCTTTTATATATATTTAAAAATAAATATATACTTCCGAAGTGACCAGGTGTAAACTGCCCCTTAGATCGCTTTCTTATTAACAAGAGGAGAGCGCAGGACTAGCTTTCGCGTGGCACATTCGCAAGGTCTCGTTCACTCCCTCTCTGCCATACACGCGCCGCGTGCTATGTATGTTATGCACGGATTCCGGGAGATTTTAACTAATTTGCGACTCCCAGAACTTCCGACGCGATATGACGATCACATCACCTCAGATCTGAGCCCCTATTCATCAAGCCAACGCGCCGCAATCTATCGCAAATCAAAGTAAAAGTAAGTCGCAGACGCTTAACACTACCATCTTCATTAAAGTAAAGGAATGAAATGATCTTACCAGGCCTGTTGCCGTTCTCCCTTATTGCTGTCTTTTCTGATTTTGAAATTAGCCGATGATCAACAAAATGCAGCTCAAATCTGTTGCTTTCGGTGACGTGCACTTCATTACATCTGTTTATAGCGCGGGAATTGAAGATCGGATTTATATCCGTTTTGCAAAAACACATTTATGTGACCAGGTGTAAATGGAATCGTTTTGATAAATCAGAGCTATCCGATCTGAGAGAACGCATGAAGTGGCCAAAATGTTTATTGTAGTAATGTTAGATGTCCCTCTAGTGGGCCGAACGTGTAACAACAACCACAGGCTATAGTGGCATTGACGATCCATAGGAATGTGTAAATGTCGTAAATATTAATAATAGGATCAATTTGAGCATTTAATATTCGAATAAATAAGGAATGGAATTCGAATAGTATTATAGAGGAAGATTGACAGCCCTAATATATATATATATATATATAAATCCCGTACAGCAGCATGCCATGTGTTGTCAGTACTTACAGTAGTGTACTCAAAGTAGTAAAGGCAGTTATCAGTGAGGATGAACCACCGCCTCTTCCAGGTTTTGACACGTCCTCCTGAGGAGCAACAGAGGAGCGTTAGTCTCCCGCACACGAGCGTCAGACGAGCAGCTGAAGAGTTGAGCGGCAGAGGAGCAGACAGACAGACGGACAGACAGACGGATGAACAGACATGAGCTCTTCTACAGCCACTCCACGTCCAGTGAGCATTCCTTACCAGCAGCACACCATGCTCACACCAGTCCAGCAGTGACCCTCCACAACGATCACACACACCTGACCTCTGCTGGGAAACCTGAGGTCGCAGTGGCAAAGGAGATGCCTGTACAACTATTGGACACTATAGTGCAACCAAATACACTTATCTAAGTGTGTGTCAGGGCAGTTGAGGCATAACATGCCCATAGGCATTTGTTTAATATTTAATATGAAACTTCAGTCACATTTTGCAAAAATATTCAAAATATTATTCTGAAGGATCATGTGACCGGCTGCTGAAAATTCAGCGTTGGCATTACAGGAATTAACTACATTTTAAAAGATATTAAAATAGAAAATACACCATTTTAAATTATAATAACATTTTATTATTTTGATTAAATAAATACAGCCTTCTTTCAAAAACATAAAAAGTTGATTATTTTAAAAGTTTATATTTATAGAAGTTATATTATATTTTGAGAAATCAGCAGTAAAGAAAATGATCTGTGCCTATTTAATGATGTGTTTCCAAGTAAGATATTTGAGCTCAAAACTGATGACCGTGACAGGCCTAATGTTACTAAAGTTATTAAAGGCATGTCAACCCCCCTAAATCTTTCCTGATCCCGATCCTCCTGCACTTTATCCGAGTCCGGACACACGGACACGCATCAGAGTCTCCGAGCAAGCTGATTGGCTGAGACTGTGGAGGAGGGAGCGAGGACTGTCACGGATACAGGGCCTTCAGTCACATCTCTCACCGCACAACAGGAAATCACACATGTTTGGATTTTAACTGTGTTTATATTATAATCACACTTTACATTAGGGTGCAATTCTAACTATTAATCACAACTTTTGCCTCAATAACTCCCAATTACTGCTTATTAATAGTTAGTAATGTAGTTAAGTTCAGGTTTTGGGTGATTGAGGGATGTAGAATATGACCATGCAGGATAAGGGATTATATGTGCTTTATAAGTACTAATACACAGCCAATATCCTAGTAAATATGCAACTAGTTAATTGGGAGAATTGGACCCTAAACTAAAGTGTGACTGGATTTATTACATGATTGCTGACGTAAATTAAACACTTTAGATTTGGGTTCAGCCTTTGTGATGTCAGTCTGATCCATCATTTGAAACCCACCCTCACCCAGCATCATAGTGGTGAGTCCGATCTGACAACACACACACACTTTCCTTAGCGCTGCAGTCCAGCATCACACACACACTTTACGTAGAGCATGACGAGTAGCAATCTTTGGTCCAGGTGCAGTTTTCTGACTCAGTCTAAACGGATCAAACACATCTCGAAATGTTCACTCGTCCAGCCATTCAACCAATAGCAGTGTAACGACTGAACGCTATTCTTTAAAGCGAGAGTTCACAGAGAAATGAAAACCCTGTCATCATTTTTCCTGAGTACGAGTAAACTCAAAAGAGGACGTTTTGAAGAAAGTCCGAGCTGCTCGTTTCCACATAAGTTGCGGAGGGCGATATGAGCACAAACCTGTGTAACGATTAGTGATGCAACGGTACACGGTAAAATCCCGGACCGTTCGGTCAGCCCTGCACGGGACAATCTAACCTCGTGTCCCGCGGGACTTCGGTTCTGCCAAGACTGCCATAGAGTTCGTGCTGATCCTTTTACCGTATTTTCCGCACTATAAAAGGCGCACTTAAAAGCCTTTAATCTTCTCAAAAGACGACAGTGTGCCTTATATTCGGGAGCGCCTTACTATATAGCTATGGATCAATTAGTTAACAACGCTCCGCATTATTAAATTCGCCCGCGAACTCGCGCTCGTGTCCAGCTTATGCCCGCTTTGTTTGTCACACGGCCAGTTCAACCACCTATAAATCAGGTAATGTGTGTGTCGCTCACGAGCGCTCACTCTAACAGACACACGAACAGACCGGCGCTGCTCGCGCGTCATAGACGTTCATAAAGCGCTCCCCGTTCACGGGTCATCTCATTCAAAACAACCCACTGTTGTTAGCGAGCCGCCGCACATTGAATACTCATATGAGTCAGGCTGCGAATGTAAGTTACGTGCCCGCCCCAGCGCGCTCACGCTTACTAAATAAACGCCTCACCTCGGCTCCACGTAGCCTACTCTCTACATTCCCAGCACAGATGCATAACGCAAACCCAGTCAAACATTTGACTGCAGTATATTTTTGCACAAGAATCTCTCAAAAGTGGATGAGTAAATAACATTGCACTTTGTATCCTGAATGTAGTATTTTTTTTTAAATTATATTATTTTGCTCTGCTCTTTTTATTCAAACCACAAGCTAAGTTATGTTAAAGGTAAAAGTGCACTTTTTCTTTCACATTGATCACTTCATTTACCAGTTATCAAGGTTTGGATTTGGGATCCACTTGAATATTTTAAAGTTTCCTCGTTTACATTTTGTATTTCATAAGTGGTAGTTGAAGAGGTTCAGTACAGACTAGAGTGTTAATTTATTCCATACACATTGATGTTATTACTGTGACATTCTGTTTATGCTCATAAGAAAAATAAAACATATTTTTGGGATGAAATAGCAGTCTCTTTCTGCACAAAACATGTACCGAAACCGAACCGAGACCGTGGCCCAAAAACCGAGGTACGGACCGTACCGTGGGCTATCTGTACCGTTGCACCCCTAGTAACGATATTATTTTATTTCACTATAACAATAAAATAAATAAAGATACAGTTATTGTGCCTGAAATAAGCTTGTGTCATCAAAACTTTAGACACAATTGAAATAGCATAATTATCGACAATTAATACTAAAACTAGTCTAATATGAGTGAACAAGTAAACAATGGTCAGTAAGAAAATATTAACAGAGCAGCTACACAGCAAAAACTCCAATGTTAAATAACTCTCCTGGGAGTTTATTTGGCTCCAGACTCAGGAGTGTTGAAGTGTTAAAATGTGAGTGTTAAATTAACACTCGAGAATGTCAACATTACTGAGCTAATTAAGTGATTAATTGAGTGATGATTGACCATCATTGACCGACACCTGATGTTAACAAGCAGAATCACTGACGGAGAAAACCTCATTTTCTAAGTCACCATTATGGTGATTATTGTTTGCTTTAGTAGGCCTCTTAACCCTGGCTTAAACTATTAACGTTAGATTTAGTATGGATGTTGTAATTGAGTTGCAACTGCCAGATGAACGAAGAGAAAAGGTGATTATGTGGTGTTGGTTATGGTTTGACTTAATTACCGTTTGACCAGAATCACAAAACTCATTTAGAGCATTAGGTTTACCTTGTTTATTACAGCAACACCATAATTCTATGGCAAACATTTTTCAGCACTTTCAACATAATCCAAAATATTATGTAAAATTAGTTCTGATCAAAAGAGTTTGAAAATTATTTTATTTAGACTCACTGACATCAATAATCAGCCTGTGAATCTCAACAATGGTGACAATAATAAAGCATGTTGATGTGCATTATGGGCTCCACCAATCAAAACTCATTCATAGCTCCCATCATGCATTGCAGTATGAATAAATTATGATCTGAATTGTCTTAGTAATTTTCTTTTTCAAATTGAATATTCTGTTTGTCACCATTGTTGAGATTCATACACTGATTCTTGATGTCTGTGAGTGTCTAAAAGAAAGATTTTTTTATCAGAACAAAGAAAGAATTTGAATTGTATCAAAAATTATGGTTCTTACATTGTAGAATCACTGTGAGGCTGTAATCAACAATATACATTTAAGTCAGATATTAAACTCTAAATTAGTTCAGTGATTCAGGTCAACTGATGATTTTGTTAAAACATAACCAACACCATCAGATCATCGTTTTTCTTTATTCATCTGGCAGTTATAACACTGTTACAACAGCCAGACAAAATCTAAAGTCTAAAATGTAAGGGTTAACTGCCCAACCGAAGCAAACACTGATCTCCATAATGGTGACTTTAAATTGTGATTTTCCACCTTCCGTGATTCTACTTGTTGACATCAGGAGTCTTCAATGTTGGTCAATCATCACTCAATTATTCACTTAATTATCTCATTAACTTTAAAACTGCTTCAGTGTTAATTTAACACTCTTGAGTGTGGAGTCATATAAACTCCCAGGAGAGTTCATTTAACACTGGAATTTTTGCTGTATAATTACGAAAAAAAGATAGAGTTAAATAAATAGTGTTTGAAGTTTTTCAGGTCTACAAATCAAATGTAAAAAAAAAAGAAAAAAGAAAAAGTATTTTCTGTATGAATTAAAGCTAAAAATCATTCAGTCAAGAACAGTGGGTGATTTTCTCTTTGTATTATTATTTTGTGTTTAATTAACATAGACAGGCATGAGGTTTATTAGGCGGCTGTCACTTTAAGACCGAATGCACAGATCTAATGAATTGACACAGTATATATGTTTATGTTTATTCAAGAAATAACTGACTGTGTTTACAAGGACACTCACCAAGACCGGCATTTTGTGTGTGTGTGTGCGTGTATCTGGCCGTTCAAGAACGATAAGACGCACACGAGCTGACAAGTGCCAAACTGAGCTCTCTGTCAAGGCTGATGGTTTAAAATCGCTTGAATGTTTAAACCGGCGAGACTTAAAACCTTCAGGACGGCACATTAATCTGAATAAGGCCAGACGCTGTTCATCGGGAGAAAGTCGTATGAGTATGCTGAGGAAACAATGACAGGTTTTTCGTTTTAGGTGAACTATCCTTCAATCTTATGCGTTTAAATTTCTCCAGTTGCTGTTTTCATTGGTGTTTGTAGGGCTCCGTTCAGACTGAGAGGAAGCAGAAAACACTGCAGCTCCCAAAGTGGAAATGACAGAGAGAGAGAGAGAGAGAGAGAGAGAGAGAGAGAGAGCATTTCGAACACCACAGCAAACAGAGAGAGGTGCTGTTCAATACACTGGCCACAAAAATCAAACCCCAAGCACCCGCCACCATACAGAGACAGGGCGGCACGTGGACGAGTCGCTGATTCGATGGATAAAACGAGCCGTCAGACAAACAAATGAAGGAACATGTAAAAACTAGAGTAAACTCATGGAAATGATGACCCTACAGTGGCTGACAACAGAAACAGGGGACAGGAAGCAAGGCTTGATCACCAAAAGCACCTGAGAGCGGAGAGATGAGCGATTGTTTGGGAAGAACAGGTGTACATACCTCCTGAGGGAAAGACAACAGCCAAAATCATGGGAACAAACAAACAAATGAGGAAGAAAAGGAAACAAAAATAATTAAATTAAATCGGAAATCATCCTCCCCCACACACGCGCTGCCTCTCTGATCAAAAGAAAAGTACTGTGGATCACAGAGGAACGCCGTTCCCAAAAATAAAACAGGGAATCAAAGTACAAGTGGAATCAGCAGACATTCAATTCACAATTACACTTTCCCTGTCCGTTTCTGCGGAGGTGAAGAAGCTATAATAATAATAATAATAAGCATGTAGTACATCAATAAATAATCTACTCAGTTATGATCCTTATTCAGTAAATCCTGAGAACTGCTGCTCTATATCGCGTTCATAAGACTACTTGAACAATCTTAATGAAGGTTATTCCAGCGATAAGGCTTTCCTCGTGATGACAATCAGTGTAGCAGATGCTAATCTTCAACCGATTATTACACGAACGAATCAAAATCATTCAAATAACTATGGCTGTGAAACGATTAATCGCGATTAATCGCATCCAAAATAAATATTTGTGTTTATATAATAAATGTGTGTAGTGTGTATAATTATTTTGTATATATAAATACACACATATGCATGTATATATTTAAGAAAAATGTGTTATGTATATTTATGTATAATTTTAATTTTGTATATACTGTATATATATATATAAAGTAAACATGTGTGTGTATTTATATATACAAGATAATTAAACACACTACACACACATATATTATGTAAACACAAACTTTTATTTTGCATGCGATTAATCGCGATTAATCGTTTCACAGCCCTATAAATAACTACACTAAAACATGCTGGGTTGTTTTAACCCAAATCTGGGTACATATGGACAAACCCAGATGTTGGGTTAAAAATGTAATTTAAACATTTAACCCAATGGCTGGGTTTGTCCATATTTGACCCAAAGATGGGTTAAAACAGCCCAGCATGTTTTAGAGTGTAGTATGTTTACGGTTGCTAAGCAACGCACCAACTTGGCACATGAACATAGAAAGATTGTGGCATTTTATGAGCATCATAATTCAAGACGTTAAAATATATACTCGTTAGCAGCGTAACCATAAACATTAAAGGGGTAGTTCACTTTTAGAAAAAACTTTTGCTGATAATTTACTCACCCCCATGTCATCCAAGATGTCCATGTCTTTCTTTCTTCAGTTGAAAAGAAATTAAGGTTTTTGATGAAAACATTCCAGGATTTTCTCCATATAATGGACTTCATTGGGAACCAAACGGTTCAAGGTCCAAAAGATTAATAAAGCGAAATGATCGCTCATTTAATAAATAAATAAATAACAAAATTTAAGTTTTATAAGCTCAAATGCTCGCCTTGCTCTGTTCTGTGTGACTCTCCTGTTCGAACTCGTTCATCAAAATGAACGAATCTTTTCCCGAGTCATTTGGTTCATTCAACGAACAAAACGAACAAACTGACTCGGAAAAAGATGTTCATTTTGATAAACGAGTTCGAACAGGACAGTCACGAACACGCATCACAGAACAGAGCAAGGCGAGCATTTGAGCTTATACAACTTGAGCGATCGTTTCGCTTGATAAGACCCTTATTCATCGTCTGGAATCGTTTAAAGCCCTTTGAACAGTTTGTAGTTTGCACTGAAACTGTCTTTTGGACCTTGAACCGTTTGGTTCCCATTGAAATCCATTATATGGAGAAAAATCCTGGAATGTTTTCATCAAAAACATTAATTTCTTTTCGACTGAAGAAAGAAAGACACGGACATCTTGGATGACATGGGGGTGAGTAAATTATCAGCAAAAGTTTTTTTTAAAGTGAACTACTCCTTTAAGTATTATACAGAAATTCCTGAAACCTGTTTGTGACAATATTGCAGATTACAAAGGGGAACTGGAGTATTACGAACAAGTTTAGGAATAGACTTATAATGCTTCATCTCAGAGTGCAGTTTCTAGTTGAGAAATTGATTCCCAGCATCCAACTGTGAACTCTTGCGGCTGAATCACTGCCATCATGACGTGTTATTACCTTCATATGATGGTAGAAGAGACACTGATCCATCAAGAGTGCAGATGTGCGACTGTATAATGTGTGAGGATCATCAGACGAGCTTATAGAAGTGTACAGTGTGTGTGTGACGGCCTTACATCTCACTCGTGTGTTTGTACCGGACACTTGTTACTCAGACGTACTCATGTAGTCCCACTCACCCAGTTTGAGCAGCCAGCCCTCTCTGTCCGGGTTGAAGAAAGTGTGTGTCAAGTCGTTGCCGTCATCCTCTGGGATTTTGAAGGGCTCGTTCTTGATGCTGTCATACAGGTTCTGTAGGAGTCAAAAGCATGACTATGAACGAACACACACACTCTCCACCTACAAAACGGCCTCGAATATCCTTACAAAGAGAGACACAAAACTATATAGTGCCTGCACTAGCTGGATAATATCATCTAGTCTAGAACGCGGTTTCCCACTTCCTGCCCATATATATACACACACACACACACACACACAGTCAAATTAATATGTTAATGTCACTATAGAAACATTCATCATTCACACAATCTATTGGACTATTCTTAAACAAAGTAATCAACGCTCTATTCTGAACATGTTTCATTTCCTGCTCATTCATTCATCATTTATTACTCTGTATTTTAGTAACTTAATCATGTAATGTATTTTCATACATTGAAAATAGTGGGCGAACAAAAACAGATGAGAGAAAGACGAATTAGAAAAAAGTAGACCAACAATCCCTTTGAACGTCAGACTGTTATTCTTAAAGGTGTGTGTAACGCTTCACAACTCAGCTTTCAGACCAGACAACGCAAGAGCACAAATGTCAAATTGAAACCAGACATTTCTTGGTTTTTGGTTACATTATCAATTACATTATCCAATTTTCCATTTTCCACAAGTGTCAATAATATAAACTCTGAGCAGAGTGTTAAATGAACACTGAAGCAGTGTCAAAGTTAATGAGATAATTAACCCTTTAAAAGCGCACGTATCATATTTGATACACGAGTTTCTAAGACATATATTGAATCAGTGAGAGCAATACTTTCTTTTAAAACCTGCTGTATCTATTTTGATACGTGTTTTCTGCCATCTTATGGAATTTCACTGTACTGCAGGCAGGTACTTTTAGCTTTTCAAAATGGCGGCTGCGATTGAATCAAGCCAGACGTTTTCGGCAGGAAAATAAAGGCTAATTTCAAGTTGATAAGGTAAAAAATAATATTGGATTGCGCCTGATATAATTGATTTAACACTTTCTGAATTGAAATAATGCATAATTACTTAATAATTTAATCGTGTATCGAATTTGATACTGCAGGTATTAATGGTGCTTTATGTCTAAACAGTAATGTCAAATTGTAGTAATGTTATCTACTTTATGACTACCACAAAGTAAAATAAAAGGACTGGAAAAAATATCTATGTAAAAAAAAAGAGAGAGAAAAACTACCTAAAATGTTCTCTGTTTTCAAACTGTTAAAAGCATAATCGATTTTTTTGTATCTAAAATCTACACTGTTGTAAGCAAAACGTTCCCTAAAAGCCCGATGCATCAAATGTGATACAAAAAATTTATCAAAAACATTTTTTTTTTGGATTCAAGGCTTAATAAACATCTAATTTCCCAAAATATATAATATTCTGTCATTTTTTAAATGTGTCAATCGGGATAAGGGACAAAGATAGCATACAGCGCTAAAACTATGACACAAACACACGGATATAACAGCCTCTGCAGACGTAAGAGGAGACCCACCCTGAGCAGGTCCTCCGGCAGGTCTCCGCCCTCATTGATGCCTCTGTTCATGGAGATGAAGCGCTCCACTGGGGGCTTGTCCTTCACGTTTGGGTTGTGAAGGCTGGTGTTCAACATAATGATGGCGAACGACAAAATGTAGCATGTGTCTGCAAAAAAAAAACAAGCGGTTCGTTACAACCATCCACGCTGACATTGCCTCTGATTCAGCCTTTTCAGAGGCACACTGGCTACTTAAAAAAGTTACGCTCATGACTCGATTAAATGTTAATGAGGACGACTGTAAAGATCTACAGCAAAAAGGCCAGAGAGAACTTAAAGGGTGTGCGTGTGTGGGGGATTTTTTACACTACACACTCCTAGCATTACACAATACAAGCTGATGCCATTAGCCAGGAAACTTTTATTTAACTATATTGCATGCGTTTCAAATCTCGGCCACTGGTAAATGGCATTTATTTTAAGTGTGAGTGTGTCTAATTCGATATTTCCAGCTCTCAATTCGTGAGAATTGCTAGGGAAAGCAGTATTGGTGGAACACTGCTCATGTTTCTTGGATATGTTATAAATGCAGGTTTAAAGGTGCAAGAATGACAGCTAGTGGTCGAAATAGGTACTGCAGTCGGATAAAAATATTGGAGATCGTCGTACTCCTGTTCCTCATGGTGCGTTCACACCGGACGCGAATAGCGCGTCAGGCGCATGCGTTACGCGCGTAAAAAATTCCTGCGGCGCGGAAGACGCGAATACGGCTCATTCGCGCGAATTGAGCGTCTGGCGCGTTAAGCACGAATGACTTAGTTAGTGGACACAAATACGGCGACGATGATCCCCACACCGCTGTTCTAGCTCTCCAGAGCAAATCCAGTGCGGTAAATCTCTCGATGAATGCTCGATTACCATAAACAAAGATGGTCGTCAACGGATTTCGATTCTGACGTGCGTAAATTTCGCTTTAAACTTTTTATTTTACCTGCGTCAGTTTCACTTTTGACACGCGAATTAACACAAAGTGGTCAAGCGTCAAACTAGGCGCGTCAGGCGTGAATTTGACGCGCTATTCGCACCCTGTGTGAACGCACAGTCAGACGGGACGGCGCTCATACGGGTCGCCAGTTTGAACACACGCAACAGGAACGAGTGCAACGGAAAATGGAAATTGGCAGGGCTCAGTATCACAGACCAAAACTAGCAAACATCCCAGCCTGGAAACGAACTTCACAGTAAAAGAACCGGAGAATCCAGAATGTGAACTTAGAATGTTTCCTAAATTTATCTAAACATATTAAGGTATTTTTAAGATTTAGTAAAGTGCCATACCACACCTTTAAACAGCGAACACAGACTACCGTGTACCGTAGACCCACCTGTGGACTGAAAGACTCCCGGGTTGCATTGGCAGTAGCGCTGGGCAAACGCCTCCATCATTCGGTCAATCTTCTGTGCCTCGCCAGGAAGCCTGAAACTCCAGAGGAACTGCCTGTGCGGAGACCAACATCAATGATATCAGTGAGACGGACATTTCAAATCACAGCTGAACATTGTGGAAAATGTATTAAACCATGTACATATTATTTACAGTTATAAACACAACTTTTACCTGAGAGCCTGAACCAGGTTCAAATCAGTGAACTCGTGCAGCTCCACAAAAGCATGAAGGACCTGGAGATTCAACTCATCTCTGTTGAACAATGTGAAAATGAGAACAAGGGGTAAGTATTATTCAGACGACACTTTCATCCAGAGCATCTTAATGCCCGTTCACACCGAGAATGAGAACTACAACGATAATTATAATAGCATTCACACCAATGGACGAGGACGTTCTGTTTATTATAAGCGCAAGCTGAAGTTTTGGTGACTGTCTCTTTAAATGCTTGAGCCCTAGCAGGATGAATTCTGATTGGCTGTCAATGTGTTATTGTTCATCTGCTGGGGGGAAAATCAATCTAAAGTGGTTCCAATGATATAGTTTCTCTGTCCCATTATGTGGTGTGGATGATCTATAGATTATTTATCTTCATCATTATCGCTAATGCTATGAATGGGCCTTTATTGGAGTAACAGAAGTTTAAAGGGACAGTTCACTCAAAAAATGCTGCCATCAATTACTCAAGTCGTTCCAAACCCACAAGACTTTAGTGCATCATTTATTCACCATACTGATCTGCTCTATTTATATATGTATATATCTGTGTGTGTACAAATGCACAAGTTTTACATTAAACCACTCGATTAAGTTTTGAAAATGAAAAGTTTTAAAAGTTTTTCAAAAACTAAAAGTTTTGGTAAAATTAACAGAAAGCTCTCGTATTTCATTAAAAATATCATCATTTGGGTTTTGAAGATAGGTTTGGAACAACATGAGGGTAACTACATTTTTTAGTGAACTGTCCCTTTAAGGAACAAATAACAAATAAATATGTCATTTTTTAACCACACTAATGTCATTGTATGGCTTTCTCTCGTCCAAGGAACACAAAAGGAGACATTTTTTATAATTACTGCAGTTTTGCTTGCAATAATGATAAGCAAATGTGTCACTAACGTGGTCTTTTGTCTATAGGTGCGTCCCAATTCGCATACTTATGCACTATTCTATGATTGATGTTGTTAGTATAAATAGTGTGAGTGCACTTTAGATATCCGGATGATGCACTAAATTAACAGAAAAGGCGAAGTGTGGAATATCGGACACTTCATAGACTCGACTTTAAGTACGTAGCGGAGGGGGAGGGGCATCAGACTCCAATGTTGAGTGACAATATAACCTTATAAAGTGAGTGTGTCATTTGGGACGCAGCTTAAGACTCGAGACAAAGTGGGTGTGAGATCATTCAGCACTGCATTATTATTCAAACGCATGACATTTATGCGATATCCCACATGGGGAATGAGGGCGATCTCGTCCTCTCTACACCCTTTCCCGGTGATCTGGTGACGGTCCACTCATGGGACACAGCACTGCAGACGCCCTCCCTAACGGACACAATCTGATCTGCCGTCATAGAAAGCTCTGCTCTGTCTCCTGAGTGTTTCAGCAGCCACACCCAGACCGAGGAGGAACAGAAAACAAGGAGGCGGAGGCAACCAAACCCAGGATGAGATCGAGAGAGAGAGAAAAGAAGGAATTCTTGTGTAGACGCAACCATGTCACTACGTGTTGCCCAGAATAACAAGCCTGAATTTCAGTCCTGTTTGAGTCAGCATTTCTTAAATATGAAGAGTCTAATGAGCTTAGAGTCTGGATAAAAGGGCAATCAGGGATTTACAGAACAACCCACATTATCATGTCTCTCCGCAAATTACAGTGGGAAGATGACACTGGTTTCCAGGAATTAACCAGAAGGGCCAGTTGACAGATATTAGGTGGATTTAATGGTTCAGAAGGGCTGTAATTAGGGTTGGGTATCGAGAATCGAGTATCGATTGGATTGGAACTTTTCGTTTTTCCCGGAATCGTTCAAAATTTAAAATTTCGATTCCTAGTTTCGATATTCACAGTCCGGCGAGCGGAAGAAGAAACCGCTGAACAACACCAACGAAGAAGCGTCTACCGGAAGTGTTGGCATAACCGCGCGAGTCGAACATGAGTACCTTACGTCGGCGATCCAAAGTGTGGCTTCACTTTTCTAAAAATAACGAAATCTCGGCAAAATGCAAAATTTGTGACAAAAGGAGTATTTTTACAGAAGGAGTATTTCCTTCAGAAAGGCCGATGGTTAGCAAGGTTAGCTAAACTTTTTTGACCCCGCCTTTTAAAAGAATCGGAATCGAGAATCGTTAGGAACCGGAATCGAAACAAGGAATCGGAATCAGAATCGTTCAAATTCAAACGATACCCAACCCTAGCTGTAATGCTGCTTTCATCCTCTGAAGTCACATTTTTACATGATATGCATTTTGGTGATTCCAACATAAATGGCCAATTTATAATATTTTATTGATTCTGGGGTCGTGTCGCCCAGATTTGCTTCCCCCGATCTGCATTTTCACCAGATTTTAATTAGCTAGTATTTAGGATAGCAATGCAAATATACAAATATAACTTGAGACCCTTGGGCTCTACAAGTACAGTTACACTAACCAATGCTTGGCAAAACGTATGAAAATCTCAATAGAAATCTTTAAAATGTTGGAATTTCCCGTAATGGCATTTCTTCACACATATTTCACATCCTGTTTGTGTTTTTCATGCAAACTCACAGTTGACCAACAGAAAGGTGTGTGGTTTGAAAGTGACTTTTGTGCAAGTAGTGTTTTGTGTGTCACTCATCTATTGAAAGTGGATGATGGACCTTTTTATCCGTGATATTCACTGAAATTTCACTAATGTGACCACGCCTAGAACCAAAAGCACTTTGATATCCCTAAAACCTGAAACAATGTGCATGAATTTATCAAATTATGAAATATTTCACTTATTCCTGCAATACAACAATCACTATTTCTACTAGAGCCAAACCGATATATCGGCCGATATTAGGGATTTTTCAAACTATCGGTATCGGCAGTTATAATGGCCGAAAAAATCGATATTTCAAAAATAAAATAAAAACGGACGAAACACGATTTAATCATCTCTCCTTGGCATGTTATATTGAAAATGTATGTTTTACAATTTTCAGTATGACGTTTTCTATTGGTAAATCATGGCTCATCATAGACTAGCTAACCACAAAGCTAGCTAATGCCACTATCATCAGTTGGAAGACCGCTAACGTTAACATTAATGAGCTTGGAAACCACAATGAACTTTTTCTGCCTAAATAAAGTAATTATTACTGTATTTATAACTAGTTACAGTCCCTGCATTGTAAAATGTAAGTTAGACTTGTGAGGAGTGAACATTTAGACATCGAGAAAAAGTATCAAACGTAAGTGATGATTGAAAATGGTTTGATGTAGCTTGATGGAAAGAATTTAAAAAGTGCAGGTAAAGGGATAAGCAAGCTGACATTGTAATTATAAGGTAGCTTATAAGGCAATGTACGGACTAATTATAATTTTATTTATCAGAACTTTGCTATATTTTGATGTTCCTCTTTTCTGTTGTGACAATAAAAGAAACAAGTTTATTTTTAAAATGCTTTATCATACTATTTTAGTTAAAACTCATAAATAACTACGTTAGGGAAATCTGTTAATGTTTTGTTGCGCGTTTCTGAAAAAAATTAAAATAAATAAAATATCGGCCGATATATCGGATTTTAAAACCCAAAAATATTTGTATCGGTCTTCAAAATCCTTTATCGGTCGGGCTCTAATTTCTACTGTTTTCTGTCCGTTCATTTTAAAGGCTTGTGAACCCCATCACTGATAGTGGCGCCACTAAATCGCCAAATGTTTATAACGGCCCATTATCTGGCCCAACCACACACACCTCTCTCCGAGGTAGTCTCCTATTGCAGTCTTGTTAAGACCTTCCCCCTTGTAGAGGAACCGTGCGATGTCTTCACTGGTGTTCTTCAGAAGGTCGTTTTCAATGAGGAACTGGATCCCCTGCAAACACACACGGTCAAGGTGTTTAGCCTCCAAGACGAATGACAAAAATCAAATTAATTCAGCTTTAATAGACCGCTTAATCACCTTTTTGGGGTCCATGTTGAATTTCTTACGCCCCATTGCCACTTGTTTGTTCCTTTGCATGTTTTTCCTGCGGGGGCAATCATCAGTAGATTAGAAACTGAACTTGTGACGTCACAAACAAAAGATGTCACAAGGTTTATTTCATATACTTCATTATAACCCCAAAACTGAAACAACCACTGCATTGAACAAAGAGGTCTTGTGGAAACCATATGGGATTGGGATTAGGTTCTCATTTTAAACAACACTTACAAAAAAGCACTGGCATTGTTTGCTTAGCAAGATCTCTGAAACTTCCCAACTGTGACTTACATTTACTTGAATAGTTTAACAGAGTCCACTAAAATAGGATGAGTTGACATTCAAGAAGATGGTGTAGCTATGATGTGAAGGCAGACTTGACCTCACGCATGACTCACTGAGTGACACATCAGTGTAATTGAAGTGTGAATGAGTAAGTGTGTGACGGGACGTCCACTCACCTCTCCTCGGTGGAGCCCAGGTTCTCAATCTCACTGGTCACTTCGGCTATCTCATCCTTCAGACGCTGTGGTGACAGGGCATGAGAGGGTTCAAATAATAACGCCACACCATCGTGGGCAATACAGATGAGAAATTAAACACACACACACACGTGTCTGTGAGTGAAACAGTAAACCAAACAAGAAACATGGTGTCCTAAAATGGAATTTTCCATCAGCAAGGACTTTTAAGCAAATCTGTAAATAGAGCAAAGTAGATCCGGCTACTTTTACGCGTGTGGGAGTGTCAAAAAGAGAGAAAGTTTGAGCTACTTAATCTCGAACCTCCAGGAATCACCCGTTTAAAAAGAAAGAAACGCTGAACAGAGGAGAGTCTGCTGCGAAAAAAAGATCGACAGAGCTCGTAATAAAACAAGAACCAACATAAGCTTGGCTTTTCAGAGATGGCGAGAGTAGCGCGGACGCAAGGAAGTGCAATGTTAGGGCCCTATGAAATCTGTTTCACAAATACAGTTTTTTCCATTTAAATTCCATTTAAATTTTAACACAAATTGTGTGTGTGTGTGAGTGACAGAGCGGGGAAAGGAAATACAACTGAAATAATACGCTGCAAGTGTTAAAGAAATGAACGCAATGCAATATGTGGCGGCGAATTAGTCTGTGTGGGAAACACTGACCCCTAAATCCATCAACGGCGCGGAATGTCAGCGTCGCGGATGCCGGAGCTAATCGCGGCCATTATAGTCAATGCTCTTAAGTCCACCAGCTGCGAACGCAGCGCGTCTCAGAAGCGTCTCTTCGCTCCGCAGAGAATAGGTAGCAGGTCTATTTTTGCTTTTTAAACTAATTTTTAATTTTTTAAATAATTTTCTATTTCAAACAGCACAGAGCACATCCGGGCAGGAAGTCAGACACAGAACGGCATAGAGGATCCGGTAGATTTTCAAAATAAAACACCTTGTGGAGACCGAAGAAGTCACCAACGCTCCGCTGCTGAAACGCGTCTGAGACGCTTCCAGTGGACTTTGACGCCGAGCCAGGGACGCATCAAAAACGTGGCACTGACGTTAAGCGAAGTAAATGGATCCAGTGGATTTTAGGGGTAAAAGTTACGTGCGAACTGCTCAGCTCGGCACTGACGGCCTATAGCGTTGAGTTTCTTAAAGGGTTAGTTCACCCAAAAATGAAAATTAAGTCATTAATTACTCACCCCCATGCTGTACCAACCCCGTAAGACCTTCGTTCGTCTTCGGAACACAAATGAAGATATTTTTGATTAAATTTGAGAGCTGTATAACTACCACATTGGCTCCTAAGGGACTGCCTCTTGACGGCCCAGAAAGTCAATGAAGAAAATGTTTAAATATCCCAAGTGACTACCGTGGCTCAACTATATGTTTATCAAGCGACGCGAATACTTTTTGTGCGAAAAAAAACTTTATTCGACTATTTCTTTTCTTCCTTGTAGGCCAGAAACGAGACTTCCTTAGATTTCCACGACGCATGCGCGAGATTTGCGATCTGCTCACACCAGCTTCACTACTTCAGATCGCAATTCTCACGCATGCGTCGTGGAAATCTAAGGAAGTCTCGTTCTGGCCTACAAGGAAGAAAAGAAATAGTCGAATAAACTCGTTATTTTTGTTTGTTTTTTCGCACAAGTATTCGCGTCGGTGGATAAACATATAGTTGAGCCACGGTAGTCACTTGGGATATTTAAACATTTTCTTCATTGACTTTTTGGGCCGTCAAGAGGCAGTCCCTTAGGCAGCCAATGTGGTAGTTATACAGCTCTCAAATTTAATCAAAAATATCTTCATTTGTGTTCCGAAGATGAACGAAGGTCTTACGGGGTTGGTACAGCATGGGGGTGAGTAATTAATGACTTAATTTTCATTTTTGGGTGAACTAACCCTTTAACCTTTTGCCGACGAAACCAGAGCCGCGGAGAGCCGCTTCGCTAGCTTTCATTGTTTTGATTTCGTCATTGGAGCTGAAATGACAGGGTGGGGGGGTTGGGGAGGGGTCGTGTCATGTCGCCCAGATTTGCTTCCCCCGATCTGCATTTTCACCAGACATACGTTCTTCTCCCACACAAAAACAGAATTTCAAACCAAATATGTAAAATTCCACGAAATTCCGCGTTAATTTGCCAATTCCACAATTCCGTCCGCAATTCCGTGATCGCGGAAATCATAGGGTCTTTGATGGGTTTAGCTAAAGTAAATCTTCAGCTAGTCAGTTTGAGATCCATCTAAACTGGTTATATCTTTTAAACCTAGTAGTGGATGACAGTGAGAAAGAACAAGTCATGCCACTCGGCCGCCATCTTGGCAACGCCTCCGGGCAGCTATTTCGGACTTAACAAGACCAGGCTCCTATCTAAAATGAATGGGCAGAGAGTCAGAACTGCACTTTCACTGGTCACTGAAAACATAAAAACTGCATGTATAGACACAGCAGTAAAAATATGATAAAAATCGCTGAAAAGTTTGATGACTTTGCACTAAAATGAGGTTTAAAACGCCGTTTTCCCACAGGTTATACTTTTACTGTGCATGCGCAAGGTTCTCTCGCTCTCTCTCGCGCGCGCTGCACGGTTTGAAATGCGCACTCTTGCTCGCTCGCTCTAGATTCCGGGAGATTTGAACTAAATTTGCGGGCATAAGCGAGCCTCTACATCTGCGGGAGACACCCGGAACTTCTGAGAGACTTGGTATTCTGATATTTACACAACTGCATATCTAAACTGCCGCCTTTCCAAACAGTAACGTATTTAAACGTTTCCCGGGCTTGACCGTTAAAAGCAGATGATTGGCTGTCCAGTGGGAGGGGCGGGGCAATTTACATACAACCGCCATCTTTGGTGTTACGGGTTTTTCCCTATACATTTGTATTAAGGATTGAGGAAGTGGCATGTCTCTATATAAATTGTCTCTGGAAAGAAGCAAGAGAGAGTAAGTTGGCCCTCTCTGCATGCGTCCTGTCCCACCCCACGCGAGCCTGACATTAACGGCTCAAATCTAATTCAGCGGATGAATCGTTTGCTCTAGACTGCTCTGCTTGATACATGACATTACAGGAGGACAACTGGAGAATGGCCCCGAAGTAAAGACTACAGACATCAAATGGATATTATTTGACCATGTCTTTGGAAAGATTAATGGTTTTAGGACACAGGCCTGTCTCTTCTGCAAGAGTTGATGATGGTGCTGAAATCCGCTCTCAAGTGTTTTGTCAAGCTCAAGTTATTTTTCCTGTTTGTAAATCACTAGCAAAGAAAAGCCTGTTTTTATTTTCCAAAACCAGAGAAACCCCACATTCCTCAGACGTTTGTCCTCCCAAAGGAAAACTGCCTCGAGAACAGAACCACTTTTGTTAGAAGACCTCAAGATGTAGAAATTCGGTTTGCAAAGGGGAGGGAAGTTGTCTTAGTTTTGTTAACAATATAAACGGAGTGTGCTAGGAAACTATAGTGCCATGGATATTGTGAGTAAGTATATAGTATAGTGGAGGTGTTGTAGTAGTAAATCTGAAAGTGATCAGTGTGTGGCTCATGTATGAGAGTCCTTTTCTAAACATTTCCACCCTGTTCCTGTCCGCTTGAGTCATTTCCTATGTGTTCATACTTAGTGAATTACAAGTCTAATTCTTATTCCACAAATACTTTCAGATTCCTGAAGTTACTATTCACCCTAAACAATGCTGGGTTGTTTTAACCCAAATTTGGGTCAAATATGGACCAACCCAAATGTTGGGTTTAAAATTTCATTTAACCCAACTTCAACTGTAATTTTTTTAATTACATTGTAGCCCTCAAACCGTATTCATTTTAAAGCCCTTAATCCTGTAATTGTGGACAAATGTGGGCACAGAGGACTCAGGTGTGATGCTAATTTTTATTTATTATAAATGCTACATCACTGTCTTCGATAAAGTTTTGTCTATCCATTTATGGTGATTTTTTTTTATTTTGAGGGTATTTTTGAATTTATTTACTTCAAAAAGTACCATATTTTCTATGTAAATTATGCTTATTTTTATGTTTTATTTTTTATTTTTTTAACTACATTAAAATATCATTCCAATAAGTTCTTAGAGCTAAAACCTAAAGATGAAGTGACTTTTCTGTCACCTGGCGTCTTATTTTGGCTTATTTTAGAATGCTCCAAATTACAGTTTTTCCCATTCATTTGAATGGGTGCCCATTTTTGACCCAAATACAAGATTAAGGAGGTTTATTTCACCCACTTAACATTGTAGAATTGAGTCAAAAAAATAGTGTGTGTTCAGGAGGCAAACTTAGGAAAAGTAGCCAAGTCTTGTACCGCTCAGATCAAGGGAAGTATTTTTAAAAAATAAATCAAAACTATTTGTCCAGAATACGGTTTTAGGGTTAACCCAACATTTGGGTTTGTCCATATTTGACCCAAATTTGGGTTTAAACAACCCAGCATTTTTCAGAATAAAACATTTTCACATCTTATAGCAGCTGTGGGATAAGATAAAATAATAATATAAACCAATTATTTATTTTATTATTATTTTATATATTTCTTTGTTACTGGATATTTGTTTTATCTACAATGTGCTTCACACAAAGTGATTAAATACACAGATTAAATATAGACTTAATACTTGTTTGTTTGGAAATTTGACAGTAAAGCACTTAAAATTAACTATCATTATTAACAACAGAAAATACTCCACTCTTATTAAATGTGCCATTGTTCTTTAATAGCATCACCCCGAACTGGACCGACAGCTTCAGTGATTATAAAATGAATGTAAAATGAGATAAAATTAGTAAATAAGTCACAAATTGACAAAAAAAGTTTTTGTTTTTCTTGAGACTCATTACCTTCTAACAGTGAGTGGAAATGGTGCTCTGCCGCCATATACTGGTCATAGTGGTAATTTCATGTTTTTCTTTTTCAAAATAAAAGTGTTTCATAGCCATGAAAAACTTAAAACTTTAAGTTTTATGAATCAATCACACTACAAAATAATATTAAAATTGGATCATATTTTGAGCTTTGAAGTGTTGGGAAAAAAATGGTAAACCACTTGAAAGTGCTTACATTTCACTCTTTAAAGGTTGTACGAACCCTGAGATTATGTAAAAAAAAAAACATTCTGCCACAATACCGTGGTTACAGTTAACATCGCTACATTGCTGGATGATGAATGTTGATGATTTGTGGATTGAAAAGCCTTGTTCACTCATCACACAATGTCTCTTCAGGTCTCCACATCAGTGCCGTTTCATCGGATATCTATGGTTTACAACATAATTGTGCCGAATTTAAATGTTTCCCACTAGATCTCGATGTTATTTATTCTTCAGTGAATTCAAACAGTGTGTAGTTACGGTTGGCCCGCAAGTGAACCTGTTCTGAGCTTGTGCTGCTCTCTCTAATATTGATCCAAACTGATAAACTGTCAGTGCTGTGTATCTCAAACAAGAAGGTTTCCATTTATTTGGTTGCACCAATTCGACCTCTTACAAAATTTAGTCGCACCGGCGGGAAAAAAAGGTAGTGAAATGCTCAATTTGGTCGAAGTCTGAAGCCCTGAACTGTAGATTATTAAATGAATAAGCCAGTCAAATCCATGCGTGAAATTGTGATAATATTCAGAAGTCAGTCACGCCTTATATTAGAAGTTAAGAGTTGAAGTTCATTACCTGAATGTCGTCCAGCAGCTCCTGCTTTCGACGGCGGATGTTTTCCAGTTCCTTCTGCTCCTCAGGCGTAAGGTCGTCAGGCACTGAGAATGAAATTTTAAAAAAGTTTGTTTTTCATAGCCAGTGACCTAGGCTTACATTGGTCTGATAATTTTTTAGTGATGATATAAGAGATGAAATGAAGACAGAATAGTGAACGAAAAGAATCGATAGGACACAATATTACCCAGCAGCATCTTTACAAGCACACAAGCATCAATACCCAACAAATGACTGAAAAGAAACAACCAGGCCAGTTTTCCTTGACACAAATATAGTGAAGCACGATGACATCGGATGATAAAACTACTCCAAATGTGCAAGAGACACCAAGCACGGTGGCACAAGGAAATAAAGAGATTTGAAATACTTGCAGATGTCCTCAAACTGATCCAAAAGATAAAGCACAAATCAATCAAAACCCTTTCGAGTCGCGGTAGACCGACCAACCAGCCTGAACGACGCCTCCAGCATCACACAAATGGGCTTTAGTGCTCTCTAGACAGACGCCTCAATCACAGGCACAAACTTTTATTCACCATGTGACTGTGAGATCTCACTCACAGCATCCTCCAGTAACCATGGCAACCCATCACTGTTTCAAACCCCATCTGTGAGGGTGCCGGGAACAAACGGTCATCACCTCACAGCACAGAATCCCTATGAAAGATGTACACATGCATGCCAAATCAAAGTGAGATTGAATTTTCCTATTGTAACATTCAAAACTCAGTTTTATTAAAGGAGTAGTTCACTTTAAAAAAAAAAAAAAAAAAAAAAAAAACTTTTGCTGATAATTTACTCACCCCCATGTCATCCAAGATGTCCATGTCTTTCTTTCTTCAGTCGAAAAGAAATTAAGGTTTTTGATGAAAACATTCCAGTATTTTCTCCATATAATGGACTTCATTGGGAACCAAACGGTTCAAGGTCCAAAAGACAGTTTCAGTGCAGCTTCAAAGGGCTTTAAACGATTCCAGACGATAAATAAGGGTCTCATCTAAGACCTTTCGAGTCATGACTCGAAAAAAGATTTGTTCATTTCGATGAACGAGTTTGAACAGGAGAGTCACGAACGCTCCTCACAGAACAGAGAAAGGCGACCATTTGAGCTTATAAAACTTAAACTTTTTTATTTATCTTTGAAATGAGTGATCGTATCGTTAGATAAGACCCTTATTCATCGTCTGGAATCGTTTAAAGCCCTTTGAAGCTGCACTGAAACTGTCTTTTGGACAGTTTTAAAAGTTTGGTTCCCAATGAAGTCCATTATAACTTTTAATTTCATTTATTATTTCATTACATGTTAACAATAATCATCAAAAACCTTAATTTCTTTTCGACTGAAGAAAGAAAGACATTGACATCTTGGATGACATGGGGGTGAGTAAATTATCAGCAAAAGTTGTTTTTTTTTTAAGTGAACTACTCCTTTAAGTCCCCAGTCAAACCAAAATCTTTGAAAAAAAACTAAACAATAAATTTAACAATTTATCACCACTTATTTACCCCTTTTCCACCTAGTTTCAAATCGGTCACCAAAGCACCAGCTCCGAACCAGTAAAAGTGGTTCTTAAGTAGCACCAAATCATTGCTGGTCTAGAAGTAAGAACCGCTTACATCAGCGGCAGGGGGCGGGGTCACCGTGACCAACAAGACGAACAGAAACTTGTGACCGACATTTTTTAAATAGCAGCTAATCATGCTAATAACAGCTCGATTGTATGCAAGTTACGGCGAGCTGCACGAATGTGCTGGATTCTCCGTGTTTGGATACCGATGTAGGTTTGCGACGCCATGAGCATTATAGTAACGCAACGACCGCCATTGTTGATGGAAGGCTTGTTCGAGATGCATCGGAGCGGCGTGGACTGATCGGAGCTGCGGGAGTGTTTGGAGAGTAGGGTTGGGTATCGTTTGAATTTGAACGATTCTGATTCCGATTCCTTGTTTCGATTCCGGTTCCTAACGATTCTCGATTCCGATTCTTTTAAGAGGCAGGGTCAAAAAAGTTTAGCTAACCTTGCTAACCAACGGCCTTTCTGAAGGAAATAATCCTTTCTGAAGGAAATACTCCTTCTGTAAAAATACTCCTTTTGTCACAAATTTTGCATTTTACCAAGATTTCGTTATTTTTAGAAAAGTGAAGCCACACTTTGGATCGCTGACGTAAGCATGTTCGACTCGCGCGGTTATGCCAACACTTCTGGTAGACGCTTCTTCATTGGTGTTGTTCAGCGGTTTCTTCTTCCGCTCAGCGGACTGTGAACATCGAACTAGGAATCGAAATTTTAACTTTTGAACGATTCCGGGAAAAACGAAAAGTTAGTCTCGGTTCCAATCGATACTCGATTCTCGATACCCAACCCTATTGGAGAGCATACGACTCTTGCGTTTGGATCGCTCTCGCAGTTCGAGATTCGCAGTGCCAAACCATCTCGAACAAGCCTGGTGTGTTTGTGTGTTTCGCGCTAGCGTTGCTGGGCAACATGAGATACAGTGACGTAAGATCTGGCTCTGTGATGGCTCTCTAGCCTGTGGAAAGGCAAACCGGTTCTTTGAAAGCTCATCAGTCGAACCAACTCCGAACCGGCAATAGCTCTAGCCCAGAACCAGCACCTGGTTCTTGTTGGTGGAAAAAGGTAATTGAGTATACATTCAGCAGCTTACCCTCCTAGATACATTACAGTGTGTGAACGATGCCAATATGTGGAGGTCAGGGACTCATTACAGGTATTTAGGCCTAGAAACATTTCTCTAAACAGTGGTTCTCAACCCTGGTCCTGTTTAACACTTTACAATATACAAGTGGATTTCAGGGAAAAACTTATAGATTCAAAAATGACTGAAACGGGGACAAAACACCCAGATTTATGGGAACCAAATATTTCCATGAGAAAAATTCCAACCCACATTGGCATTATGCCTATTTTCTCAACATCAGAAGGGAAGTTTATGACCTAAAAAACAATTTAGTCACCGATTATGTAGCAAAACGTAATACTGCACAAAATGAATAAAAGAAACTCTTTATTTACCGCTGTAAAATCCCTTGTAAGTTCTGAGAGTCCGAGGGAGATATGGTGAACTACCTGACGTTTGCTGGAGTTGGGTGATGGAAAACCCCTCGAACACACAGTTCTGCTTCCTCCAGCAGTGAACAATGAAGCGAGGTGAAGAGAGAGAGCTCAGTGTTCACTTTTCTCGAGAAACCCACATGAAGAAAATGAATTCACTGCAATGCCAGAGTAGGATGGCCTCCCCACACAGGTTCTTTCCCGGCACTGCCTAAACATCTTATGGAGTTTTTTCCTTGCCAAAGACTAGCTCTTATGCCGCATTCTAGCGCTGTCAATCTTCCTCTATAATACTATTCGAATTCCATTCCTTATTTTATGTAATATTCGAATATTAAATGCTCAAATTTATCCTATTATTAATATTTACGACATTACACATTCTTATGGATCGTCAATGCCACTATAGCCTGTGGTTGTTGTTACACGTTCGGCCCACTAGAGGGACATCTAACATTATACAATAAACATTTAGGGGCTGTTTACACCTGGCCACTTCATGCGTTCTCTCAGATCGAATAGCTGTCTTATAATATCAAAATGATTCCATTTACACCTGGTCACATAAATGTGTTTTTGCAAAAACACATTTTCCGATTTTCAATTTTCGCGCTATATACAGATGTGATGAAGTGCACGTCACCGAAAGCAACAGATTTGAGCTGCATTTTATTGATCATCGGCTAATTTCAAAATCAGCAAAGACAGCAATAAGGGAGAACGGCAACAGCCCTGGTAAGATCATTTCATTCCTTTACTTTTAATGAAGATGGTAGTGTTAAGCGTCTGCGACTTACTTTCACTTTGATTTGCGATAGATTGCGGCGCGTTGGCTTGATGAATAGGGGCTCAGATCTGAGGTGATGTAATCGTCATATCGCGTCGGAAGTTCCGGGAGTCTCCCGCATATTGATAGCGTCTCCCTGAAGGCCGCAAATTAGTTAAAATCCGCGCATAACATACATAGCGCGCGGCGTGTGCATGGCAGAGGGAGTGAACAAGACCTTGCGAATGTGCCACGCGAAAGCTAGTCCCGCGCTCTCCTATTGTTAATAAGAAAGCGACAAGAGGCCGTTTACACCTGGTCACTTCGGAAGTATTTTTATTTTTAAATACAAAGCAATATTCGAATAGTAACTTTTAGCATTCGAATAGTATTGAGTTTTTTAATATTCGAATTATATTCGAATTTCGGAATTCGTTCCAACAGCCCTACCGCATTCAGACTACACAATATTTGTGTCTGCTTATCACTGTGACAGATTTTGACTCCTAAAAAACGGTGATTTGTGGACATAAAAAAAGATGTACGAAACACCTTCCATTTTAGAAAATTGAAGCCACCAATGTCCCAATATGGCGCTGGAATCTTGCCTATTTAATACTAAATCCAGTACTTTCTGGGTTGCTTAAGCGTGTCTGCTATCGTTCTCCAATATTTATCTCGAGGTCGTCCCTCGAGGAAACATATTAAATGCAGGAGTATTGCTTCCATTTCATAATTCCACCCAGCAGATCCAATACCATCGTCTCTCTTTGGTTTCGAATGTTTGAAAGTTGTTTCTGGAGGAGCTTCTGTGCTCCTATTGGTCAACTTCACAGATGAGGACCGATAATGAAACAAGCTAGTATATCGTTCATCATGACGTCGTAGGCTTCACCGTCGGTTGTTGTCCACTATGCCACACTATATAAGATAAAACTACTGATTCCGGCATCCCAATGCCATTGTCCAATTACCAATCATTAATGCATGCCTAGTTAGACAATATAAAAAGTGCTATGCATTCAAATCACTTGACTTGAATTAAGACCGAAGTAGCACAACCTATCCAGAGCTTTCTGCTGCAGCTCGAACTAAATGGGTCAATCTCAAAATGTTTTGGCTGCAGGATCAGATCAGGTCTGAATTTGAGTAATGTCAGTGCAACAGTCAGTCAGTGGGCTGCTAATCAGAACCACCCACA